TTATAAAGAATATCTCTTTGGATTTGAGACTTTAGTCTTTGCAACTTTACAGATCTTCTTTATGCACCAAGAGCTTGTAACACTCCAAAGAGAAAGGAAAAATTGAAATCGCACCATATGACCCCTTTAAGTCGCTGGGGTATATTTGTAGCAATTGCAATTTTTGCACCCTCAGATTCCAGATTTCCAAATAGTTGTATCTCTGCCAAATATTGTCCTATCCTAACATACATTTATTCAGCTTTCAGATGATGTATAAATCTCAATTTTGAAAAATTGACACTTAAGACTGGTTTTGTGGTCCAGGGTCACATTTAAAGACACTTAATATGAAGTCGGACCAAAAGTTGTGTAGTGTATTAGCTGCTATACACATTCATTTTACAGCCTTATACTCTTTGTCTCATTTGTTTCAATTTTTTCAATGAATTTGTGGAGAAATATTACTTATTACAGTTAATGCTACTGTGCAACATATCTGAACATACTTCACGTTTCCTGAACAACAAAAGGGCCACATCTGAATAATAAAGCATCTTGATGTTCTGAAGGGCAATGAAAGTATGATGGTTGTGATGGAACTTTGTTCAAAGTTAAATATTTTGTTATATGCAACTATATGCAACTTAAGTTAAAACTTTGTGTAATTTAACATGACTTTCAATTCAGTTTCACCTTTCATTACAATCATGAAGTTGTACTTCCTGTGTAAGTCTGAATCAAGTTCCTTCTCAAATACTATGATTCAGTGCTTACATAGAAGAGATGAAATAAACAAGCGATTCTCATTCACTGCTGGGAAGCAAACCTGATCAGACCTGGACTCCACCTGTGTTAAAGCAAAAGAAACTATAACATTAAAGACACTGATCTTAACCACTATACAAAACCATTGGAGTTGGCTGGACACAGAGTTGGGTGTATGTTTCAGGCTCTGAATTGAAGAGGCAGATTTACTTTCCCTTATAGCTTCTTCTTTCTGGGATCAGTGAGACCGAGACACAGACACTCTATTCCTTCATTATCTTTCTCTTTAAAGTACCAGCACACACTGTTTTAGGCACAATGATGAATTCTGACTGAGAGTGTAACATTTTGTTGCTCTCCGCATTCCCAGTGCAGTTAAGAAAAGCATGGAAGATCTCTCATATTTTGAAATGATGAGACTGTACACTGTCTCTATACAGACACTCTATTCCTTCATTATCTTTCTCTTTAAAGTACCAGCACACACTGTTTTAGGCACAATGATGAATTCTGACTGAGAGTGTAACATTTTGTTGCTTTCCGCATTCCCAGTGCAGTTAAGAAAAGCATGGAAGATCTCTCATATTTTGAAATGATGAGACTGTACTCTGTCTCTAGACTTAAGACCTTATAATATAAGAAGAAAAGTGATGTATCATTAGAAGTTATGTATTGGCCAGGTGTGACCCACTTCCTTACAGGAAATTGTAAGCTAAAGGATCCAGATGGAAGAGGGAGGGGGTGGGGTGGGGGGTGGGGGGATTCAGAAGAAAAAGAACTGCTTCCGAAACAAGATTACATAAGTTTAATTAATGACACAGTGAAAAAAGTAATAGAATTGAATAAATAAATAAAATAAATAAATAAAAGCTTATGTAAAAATACAACAAAGAGTTAATGATTTACAGAATAAAGCTGAAATTCTTTCAAAATCTATATATACGATTTGGTAAAAAAAAAAAAAAAAGGGTATTTTTGGCTACTAGTTTGTCATTTTTATCATCATATTAGCCAACATTCAGCTTAAGATGCAGCCATTAATAACATGAACAGCAAATGCATAAATTATTTTTTAAAATACATATTCATATTTGATATTAAAACAATGGTGTTAAAAATAATAACTACACAAGGTACACTAAAATATCTCCATTTACAGAATTAGCTGCTTTTCAGTTAATGCACCATTGTGAATTCAGTGAGAGATAACGGAATAACTTTATAATAAATGATTTACTGAAAATAGTCATCAATCCAACTGAACTGATTCCGTTCAAATGCAACCCCACATGAGTCAAATATTCAAAAATAAGTTTTCATGTCTTGTACTGGGAGAACAAATCTGAAAGACCAACTCATTCACAAATTCAACATCATCATTACAGAGGACGATATTAAACCAGGATTAAGCTGAAATAAGAGGGGGAAATGTGTGTTTAATATCCAGTAATTTAATCTTTCTTTAACATTACACCAGACTGCTTGACGCAAGCAAATACAAGGATGGGAATTTCACTCTTTCCATTATCCTGAGCCTGTTGTCCTGAAACCTAATGATTAACAACCTATCCTATA